TTGACATATGATATTGATTGCGTTGCTTATTTTTTATCCAATATTTTTGTCATTTAGGATCATCGTTTGGAGGATGATTGAAACTGCTAAGTTGGTAGGCGGACTCTACTTCTTCTGAGAGAAAACATGGAGAACGAGGACACTCCACCCAGTATTTGTAAGTAAACTGCTAAGCTGGTAGGCGGACTCTACTTCTTCTAAGAGAAAACATGGAGAACGAGGACACTCCACCCAGTAGTTGCAGTTTATCTCAGTTCACTGAATGTTCTATTATGTTGTTACACTGTCATTTAGGTCATCCTAGTTTTCAGTCTCTAAAACAACTATATCCATTGATGTTTACTAATAAAAATCCTTTTAATTTCAAATGTAAAACTTGCCAGTTAGCTAAACAACATGGAGTTTCTTAACCACCCCACAATTGTACTCCTTTCACTCATTTTGCTCTTATTCACAGTGACTTATGGGGACCTTCTCGTGCTTCTAGCTACATCAATAAACGAAAGTTCCTTACTTTGATTGATGATCACACTCGAATGACATGGGTCTATATTTTAAAAGATAAATTTGAAGTTGTTGTCACTTTAAAAAATTTTCACACCTTCACTTTGACCAAATTCAAAACTTCTATTCAAGCCCTTCAAACTGATAATTAATGGCTATGAACTTTTTAACTCTATATTAAGAGAAATCTTAGTAAATAGGACTTCCTCCATCATAACTCGTGTACCGCTCTCAATAAAATGGGATAGTGATGTCATTCTTACTGTTACTTATTTCATCAATAAAATTTGCTAAAAAATTCACAACTTTTGTACCCTTTTAGCTATCTTAAGATTGTGCTTTCTTAATAATCGGGTCTTCTCCGCCTTATTACCCAAAATTTTTGGATGCACAACCTTTGTTCGGAACACAGCCCCAACTCGGAGTAAACTTGATCCATGTCCATAAAATGTGTTTTCTTCGGATACTCTGTCACTCAAAAGGGGTATTAGTGTCTTGACCCTACCATAAATAAGTTTTATGTAAGTGCTGATGTCTCCCTTTTTGAATGTTTTCCCTACTTTCTTAACTCAGTCTCCAAAGAGGGGGAGCTAGAGTTCCTTGATACTGTTTCTTACCCTACCCCTGTGGATGTTCCTCCCACGTCACCTTCCATCGAGGAACCCTCTTTTCCTTTATTTCCACCCACTACTCCTACCACCAAGGAGCCCCGTATCCCTTTGGTTCCACTAGCACATCCTCCTACTCCTCATGTTTGCACTCGACACACTCGTTCTAATGCACCTGCTCTGGAGCTTGCTAACTCCTTACTGGACCTTGAATCCCCTCTGGACGACATCTCCAACATTGTTCCTACTCTAAATGAGGAAGTCAGTTCCCCTAGTAAGGTATGCAATCAGATAGACTCGCTCAATCTCATGACAAGCTATGTTTCTCTTCGCAGATTATCACCAACCTATAGAGCATTTACTATGACCCTGACCAATCATCAGCTTCCATCTACTCTTCAGTTGCCTTAGTAGACCTAGCCTGGAAAACTGCTGTGATGGAGGGGTTGAATGCTCTTCAGTGGAATCATACTTGGAACATTGTTGATCTTCCAAGGGATAAGAAAGTTGTGGGATGTCGATGGATTTTTAGCATCAAATTTAAATTTGATGGATCCTTTGAACACAATAAGTCACGGTTGGTCGCTAAAGGGTACTCACAGACCTACAGAGTTGACCATGAGGAGACATTTGCTCTGGTTGCTAAATTAAACACCATTCGTGTCCTCTTATCCCTTGCAGTAAATCCGGATTGATCCTTATTCTAGCTTGATGTCAACAATGTGTTCCTGAACGGCGATCTTATCGATGAGGTTTATATGGCTCTTTCTCCAGGCTTTGACTCTACTGCCTCCTAGGGGCAAGTATGCATACTGCGAAAATCCTTCTATGGATGGAAGCAAACACTACAGGTATGGTTCGGGAAATTCACCAAGGTGGTGGTAGGCCATGGATTCACTTAGCCTCAATAGACCACACTTTCTTCTTCTGACATTCCTCCAACGGTCAGATAGATATTCTTATGGTCTATGTTGATGATATTGTTCTTACAAGTAATGATCTACCGACATTAGAATTTTTGAAAGACATTCTTGTTGCTTCCATTGAAATTAAGGATTTGAGATCTCTTTGGTACTTCGTAGGAATGAAAATTGCTCGGTCATCTCAAGATATTTTCCTGTTTCAGCGAAAATATGTACTTAATTTTTTGACAAAGAACAATCTTCTTATGTGCAAACCAATGTCTATCCCGATAGATCCAAATGAAATACTTCTTGATGTTCTTAATATAGTTTCTGTAAACAAGACTCACTACCAGCGCCTTGTTGGGAAACTCATCTACCTTGTCTTACACGCCACTACTTATGCTACACAGTTGGGATAGCAAGTCAATTCATTCATGATCCCTATGAGCACACCTCCAAGCTATCCACTTGATTCTGCATTATTTAAAAGGCACACCGGGCTCATGTTTGTTTTTTTCCCGTCACACCTCTCATTCTATTGCTGTTTACACAGATGCAGATCAGGTGTCTGTCCATGATCTACGATCTACCTTGGGGTACTGCTCGTTTGTATGGGGAAGTCTGCTCACATAGAAAAGCAAGAAGCAATTTGTAGTTACTCGAAGCAGTGCAGAACTGCATTTCGTTCCATGTCCTTAGGAATTGGTGAAGCTCTCTAGTTACACATCATGCTCTACGAATTCCGTATGACAGTCTCCGCTCCGCTACAGTTTTGTGATAACAAGACTGTCATTAGCATTGTTCACAACCCGTTTCAGCATAATCGCACCAAGCATATTGAGATTAACCGTCACTTCATTAAGAAAAAGCTCGAGTCCGGGGAAATTTGTTTTCCGTTTATGCCATCTTGTGACCAACTGACAGATATTCTCACAAGAAACCTTCCCCGACCACTGTTCGATGATTTCATATCCAATTTGAACATGAATGACATCTATGTTTTAACTTGAGGGGAAGTATTAAAATATTAGAATATTAATATTCATATTTATGTATGAATTGCTTTGATTTTCTTTTATTTACCTTTCTTTTTTTCCTTTATTCTTTTTTTATTTGTTTCCTTACTAGGCATCAATAAGAAAACATCTTGGGTTATATTCTAATAAAATCGCTAAACAAAACCTTAAGTACCAAGCATAACAAACAAGTCCAGAAAGAAGATGATTTCTCAAGAAGGGGATCTAGTGTGGATTCGGTTGAAGGAAGAAAGAAAGATTTTCTGCGGGAGCATTCGGAAAACTCAAGCCCCGAGCTGATGGACCTTTTAAAATACTTCAGATGCTGAATGACAACGCTTACAAGATCGACTTGCCAGGGGTTTACAATGTTTTTGCTACTTGCAATGCCGCAGACTTGACATCATATTATGAGGACCCAAAAGTATCAACAACTGTAGTCCAAGTTTCCCTAACTTTGGGAGACCGGTGTAGGCCTAGGGCTGGATCGACTGGTCCAGCAAAGAGGTTGGACTGGCCGACACTCCAATGGTGCAGGAATTGCCACCCTTCCCCCCTATTTCGCCTACTATAAATATATGTTGATGTTGTCTAGGGTTTAGTTTTTTGCAGATTTTAAATATTTTCTTTTAGGTATTCTGCTCTCTGTTTGGGTTATATCCGAGGACAACTGGTGCTCTTACTGGATCCTGCTTCGATATGGTGACTACCTCTACCTACTCCTAACCTAATCCTTTTTCCCTACTCGCTGTTTCCATCCCTGCGCCCTTCTTCCTTGTTGCTGTGATTGTCGGCCCTCCCTCTATCTGTTGTTGCCAGCCTCGCCCAATCCCACTACCGTTGCTGCCAGCCTATCCTATGCCTCTACTGTTGCCACCAGCCACCTGCATACGGCTCCAACCCCTGCAACTGACCAATCTACACCCAAACTTGCTACTGCCTTACCTTCCTACAACTCCACCAGTTGTCATCTTCCCTTCCAGTTACCCTCCCTGTTGTCCCAGACCCTCAGACCACTTCGCTCTCGTTGTCCAGCCGGATTGGCCCTCTTCTTCTTCTCCCTAAGGGCTTGGTTGTATCTGTGTTCTTTATTTCCTGTTTTAAGAACATTTGTGTGATTTCATTTGATGTTTTTTAGCTATAATATTTTGCGTTTTTTTCTTGGGCCTCATCCGACCGCTGGAATCATCCCGACTGCTCCTAAGGGTTTCTGCCCCCTAGGTTGTGCTGACTTGGTCTGGCCGGTTCAGACTGCTTCCTGCTGGACCGATGCCTGTCCAGATTCTGGCATAGCCGACGCAACTGGAAGAGCTGGCGTATCAGCTTGCCTCTAGTTTTTGTCTTATAGGTTACATCCCCAGCTAGCTGGTTCTGGTTTTAGGAATCCTAATTTTTCGTTTGTTCCTTTTTGAGAGTCGCCCAATACATATTCTTCATTAGATCATTTTGAACTACCTTTATTTATGTTACCATAGGTACAAAAGAAATATTTTAATTATAAAACTCCCTGTTGTAACTCAATAATTATATTTGAGTTTCTTTATCTGGAAGGAAGCTTTGTGGTTTTGCAACTTCGGGAAGATGGTCTTAGTTAGAAATATTTTAATTATAAACCTCCCTGTTGTAACTCAATAATTATTTTTGAGTTTCTTTATCTGGAAGGAAGTTTTGTGGTTTTGCAACTTCGGGAAGATGGTCTTAGTAGCATCTCTATTTAGTTTTTCCTACAGTTACCATCATCACTAAAATTATCCCTATTTATGGTACCTCTTTAGACTTAATTTCAGTGATCCCTAGCTCTAAACTTCTTGTTGGCTGGGGTGTTAAATTTTAAACTAAAGTTTAGTATTTTATCCGACCTTTTTTCTGATGGTGCCACATTTGTTGATACTTTTGATAATATGTTCTAATTTTCTTGAACTGGCAGACATGTTGCTAACATTGTTTTAAAACTTTGTTGATTGCAGTTGGCCTATATGTACTGGGTTCTAGGATATAAACTAAGCGAAGCACATAAAGTTCTTTTGGTAATCTCCAGTGACCATCTATGATTACATAAGATTTTCATTTTGACTTGCAATTTAAAATTTATCTTCTAAAAATTTTCTTCGGCATGCTTGAGGTCTAAAAGAAATGTATATCAATATATTCACTTATCTGCGATTGCATTGAATTTTCACGCTGACTTCTAACTTATAGTTTAACCTGGAACTTGTGTACTTGGTGATCATAATTTTTCTTGTGGTATTTCCTTCACGCATTCGCAGCTTCGACATTGCAGGCGTTATCGTATTCCACAATCCTTACGCCAATGTAGGTCATTCTCAATGCCTACTTTCTGAACTTTATCTGTTCAGAATTGTTATACAAATGAGACTTCTAGAAAGTAGGATAAGTTCTATTAGGTGATCATGGTTGTGATATTATTTTCTTTTGATTTCAGGATAAGGTTGCAACTTATCTTTTGATTTTTTTTGCCAATTCAAAAAAGTTTTATGATTATAAATATAACATCCCATTAAGATTCTCTTTTAATTTTACATTTGAATTAATTATTTTTGATTGAATGAAATTCTTTTTGTACTTCTCTTAGTGCTAATGGAGATTGAAAATTTTAGGGAGTAAGGCATTTTTTTGTACTGCCATAAGACTTAACTATTGGGGTTGTCTTATATTTTTTATTTTATTCTCTAATTTCAAGTTCTTAGTTTGCACAAAAGCTTTATTAGGAATCACTTTAACTCTTAAGAATTTTTGTATCGTAGTTCGTATCAATGCCTAAATGTTCATCATAACGAGTAAATGTAGGATATAAAAATCGGGTCAATTAACAAATAATAGAACATGCAATGATGCGGGAGCTACTCAGATGCGGGTACCTTTGTTTCTAAGTCCCTGCTATAGTACGACTCCCTTTTCTGCGATATACTACAGTTCCGCTCTCTTTTGGGTTGTCGTTTTCATGCCTAGACCGAGCCAGTTTAGGTTTTTTGTTATTGTAAAGCCGACTAGCCCTCTTGGCCACTCTTTACCATCCTCTTATTATATATATATTTCGGGAAATTCACCAAGGTGGTGGTAGGCCATGGATTCACTTAGCCTCAATAGACCACACTTTCTTCTTCTGACATTCCTCCAACGGTCAGATAGATATTCTTATGGTCTATGTTGATGATATTGTTCTTACAAGTAATGATCTACCGACATTAGAATTTTTGAAAGACATTCTTGTTGCTTCCATTGAAATTAAGGATTTGAGATCTCTTTGGTACTTCGTAGGAATGAAAATTGCTCGGTCATCTCAAGATATTTTCCTGTTTCAACGAAAATATGTACTTAATTTTTTGACAAAGAACAATCTTCTTATGTGCAAACCAATGTCTATCCCGATAGATCCAAATGAAATACTTCTTGATGTTCTTAATATAGTTTCTGTAAACAAGACTCACTACCAGCGCCTTGTTGGGAAACTCATCTACCTTGTCTTACACGCCACTACTTATGCTACACAGTTGGGATAGCAAGTCAATTCATTCATGATCCCTATGAGCACACCTCCAAGCTATCCACTTGATTCTGCATTATTTAAAAGGCACACCGGGCTCATGTTTGTTTTTTTCCCGTCACACCTCTCATTCTATTGCTGTTTACACAGATGCAGATCAGGTGTCTGTCCATGATCTACGATCTACCTTGGGGTACTGCTCGTTTGTATGGGGAAATCTGCTCACATAGAAAAGCAAGAAGCAGTTTGTAGTTACTCGAAGCAGTGCAGAACTACATTTCGTTCCATGTCCTTAGGAATTGGTGAAGCTCTCTAGTTACACATCATGCTCTACGAATTCCGTATGACAGTCTCCGCTCCGCTACAGTTTTGTGATAACAAGACTGTCATTAGCATTGTTCACAACCCGTTTCAGCATAATCGCACCAAGCATATTGAGATTAACCGTCACTTCATTAAGAAAAAGCTCGAGTCCGGGGAAATTTGTTTTCCGTTTATGCCATCTTGTGACCAACTGACAGATATTCTCACAAGAAACCTTCCCCGACCACTGTTCGATGATTTCATATCCAATTTGAACATGAATGACATCTATGTTTTAACTTGAGGGGAAGTATTAAAATATTAGAATATTAATATTCATATTTATGTATGAATTGCTTTGATTTTCTTTTATTTACATTTCTTTTTTTCCTTTATTCTTTTTTTATTTGTTTCCTTACTAGGCATCAATAAGAAAACATCTTGGGTTATATTCTAATAAAATCGCTAAACAAAACCTTAAGTACCAAGCATAACAAACAAGTCCAGAAAGAAGATGACTTCTCAAGAAGGGGATCTAGTGTGGATTCGGTTGAAGGAAGTAAGAAAGATTTTCTGCGGGAGCATTCGGAAAACTCAAGCCCCGAGCTGATGGACCTTTTAAAATACTCCGGATGCTGAATGACAACGCTTACAAGATCGACTTGCCAGGGGTTTACAATGTTTTTGCTACTTGCAATGCCGCAGACTTGACATCATATTATGAGGACCCAAAAGTATCAACAACTGTAGTCCAAGTTTCCCTAACTTTGGGAGACCGGTGTAGGCCTAGGGCTGGATCGACTGGTCCAGCAAAGAGGTTGGACTGGCCGACACTCCAATGGTGCAGGAATTGCCACCCTTCCCCCCTATTTCGCCTACTATCAATATATGTTGATGTTGTCTAGGGTTTAGTTTTTTGCAGATTTTAAATATTTTCTTTTAGGTATTCTGCTCTCTGTTTGGGTTATATCCGAGGACAACTGGTGCTCTTACTGGATCCTGCTTCGATATGGTGACTACCTCTACCTACTCCTAACCTAATCCTTTTTCCCTACTCGTTGTTTCCATCCCTGCGCCCTTCTTCCTTGTTGCTGTGATTGTCGGCCCTCCCTCTATCTGTTGTTGCCAGCCTCGCCCAATCCCACTACCGTTGCTGCCAGCCTATCCTATGCCTCTACTGTTGCCACCAGCCACCTGCATACGGCTCCAACCCCTGCAACTGACCAATCTACACCCAAACTTGCTACTGCCTTACCTTCCTACAACTCCACCAGTTGTCATCTTCCCTTCCAGTTACCCTCCCTGTTGTCCCAGACCCTCACACCACTTCGCTCTCGTTGTCCAGCCGGATCGGCCCTCTTCTTCTTCTCCCTAAGGGCTTGGTTGTGTCTGTGTTCTTTATTTCCTGTTTTAAGAACATTTGAGTGATTTCATTTGATGTTTTTTAGCTATAATATTTTGCGTTTTTTCTTGGGCCTCATCCGACCGCTGGAATCATCCCGACTGCTCCTAAGGGTTTCTGCCCCCTAGGTTGTGCTGACTTGGTCTGGCCGGTTCAGACTGCTTCCTGCTGGACCGATGCCTGTCCAGATTCTGGCATAGCCGACGCAACTGGAAGAGCTGGCGTATCAGCTTGCCTCTAGTTTTTGTCTTATAGGTTACATCCCCAGCTAGCTGGTTCTGGTTTTAGGAATCCTAATTTTTCGTTTGTTCCTTTTTGAGAGTCGCCCAATACATATTCTTCATTAGATCATTTTGAACTACCTTTATTTATGTTACCATAGGTACAATAGAAATATTTTAATTATAAACCTCCCTGTTGTAACTCAATAATTATTTTTGAGTTTCTTTATCTGGAAGGAAGTTTTGTGGTTTTGCAACTTCGGGAAGATGGTCTTAGTAGCATCTCTATTTAGTTTTTCCTACAGTTACCATCATCACTAAAATTATCCCTATTTATGGTACCTTTTTAGACTTAATTTCAGTGATCCCTAGCTCTAAACTTCTTGTTGGCTGGGGTGTTAAATTTTAAACTAAAGTTTAGTATTTTATCCGACCTTTTTTCTGATGGTGCCACATTTGTTGATACTTTTGATAATATGTTCTAATTTTCTTGAACTGGCAGACATGTTGCTAACATTGTTTTAAAACTTTGTTGATTGCAGTTGGCCTATATGTACTGGGTTCTAGGATATAAACTAAGCGAAGCACATAAAGTTCTTTTGGTAATCTCCAGTGACCATCTATGATTACATAAGATTTTCATTTTGACTTGCAATTTAAAATTTATCTTCTAAAAATTTTCTTCGGCATGCTTGAGGTCTAAAAGAAATGTATATCAATATATTCACTTATCTGCGATTGCATTGAATTTTCACGCTGACTTCTAACTTATAGTTTAACCTGGAACTTGTGTACTTGGTGATCATAATTTTTCTTGTGGTATTTCCTTCACGCATTCGCAGCTTCGACATTGCAGGCGTTATCGTATTCCACAATCCTTACGCCAATGTAGGTCATTCTCAATGCCTACTTTCTGAACTTTATCTGTTCAGAATTGTTATACAAATGAGACTTCTAGAAAGTAGGATAAGTTCTATTAGGTGATCATGGTTGTGATATTATTTTCTTTTGATTTCAGGATAAGGTTGCAACTTATCTTTTGATTTTTTTTGCCAATTCAAAAAAGTTTTATGATTATAAATATAACATCCCATTAAGATTCTCTTTTAATTTTACATTTGAATTAATTATTTTTGATTGAATGAAATTCTTTTTGTACTTCTCTTAGTGCTAATGGAGATTGAAAATTTTAGGGAGTAAGGCATTTTTTTGTACTGCCATAAGACTTAACTATTGGGGTTGTCTTATATTTTTTATTTTATTCTCTAATTTCAAGTTCTTAGTTTGCACAAAAGCTTTATTAGGAATCACTTTAACTCTTAAGAATTTTTGTATCGTAGTTCGTATCAATGCCTAAATGTTCATCATAACGAGTAAATGTAGGATATAAAAATCGGGTCAATTAACAAATAATAGAACATGCAATGATGCGGGAGCTACTCAGATGCGGGTACCTTTGTTTCTAAGTCCCTGCTATAGTACGACTCCCTTTTCTGCGATATACTACAGTTCCGCTCTCTTTTGGGTTGTCGTTTTCATGCCTAGACCGAGCCAGTTTAGGTTTTTTGTTATTGTAAAGCCGACTAGCCCTCTTGG